CCATAAAAAAAGTGATCTCATTTTATCCTAGAGGAAAAATGGCTTAGCTGAGGGATTTGTTCCTTTGTAAGAAAACATGTTTCACCACTGAACTCTGCAACGTGCAATTTCTAGATTGAGAACATTCTGTCTTTAAAAATATACAAATCTTTTAATTTCATATAGGATGGGGGAGGGGAAGGCAGCTCACATCACTGTTTCTTCCCCACTTTCATCAATTTAGTTACATGAAGAGTCATGCTCTTCTGCAGGAGACAATCAATGAAATATAGTAAATGTATCTGTGAGCAAAATAGAAAAGAAACAAAAGTGGGTTTGTAAAATCATGATGTTTTTCTCTGGATCTAAAAACGGGTTGACAGACGTTTTATTATGTTTATACATTTTTAAACTGAATTCACCTTTTGTACTAAGCAAATGCCATGTGAAATTGATAGCCTGAGATTTTCCATATAAGCATTCACAATACACATCAATGACAAGATTTTGTGTCCTGAGTTTCCGCCGCTTTGCAAAGTCACATTGTAGTACTGTTTGTACTGAAATTGTTATATTGATTGGATTTTTATTATTTTTTCTTTGTAATTTCAATCTTTTCCTCCATAAATACATTTAGCATCATATTACAGTTGTCCCAACTTAGAAATGTTTTNGACATCGCTCAGAAGCTCCTGAATTGGAAGGAGCTGGTCATTAGGGAGGTGGCGGGCAGGAAAGGTGCCTGGCATGATCTGTCTCCTAAGGTCTTGTCCTAGCGGCCAAGGTAATTTTACACTGGAAACCTTTAGATGTTGGCGACCACCTGTCTCCAGGGAAGTTTTCAGCACCAAGAGCGGTGATGTGAAGACAAAGCACCACCATTATCTGATGCTGGTACAGAAACAACCTCTGCAGATGAGGTGGGTCCCTTTGCCCATCGGGAGCTCCTGGCACACAGCTCTTGCCTCACCAGCACTTGCAGCAGCCCAAACACCCTTTCTGGTGTTGTGTCTGACTGCACAAGAATCCTTCCAAATTTCCTTGCAGCATCCTCAGAGATTAGCTCCAGGTCTACTTTGAAGCTGGAGTGCCCACAGAGCCTGAGTCCACTCTACCCTTTAACTCCAGCCCCAGCGAGATGTCTGGGCTTAAAACAGACATATTCCCAAGGTTGTCTGGGCACCAAGATGCCTTTGTTTCCTTTATTTAAAAGATGTGGGAAGCTAATCAGATGCTTGTCTGGGGCCAGAATTCAAGTCTCATGGTAGAAGGCTCAGGGTTTTGTGCACTGACCACTCCGCCACAAATGCAGAAAGGCGGCACCCAGAAACACGGAAAAGCACTTTCTTCCCTCACGGCTATGAGCATCATTTATCATTTGAAATACTTGCCATGTGGATGCTACTTATCATTCCTTCCCTCCAGAGCAAATCCTATTACCAATGTGAGAAGGGACAGGACCTGGCTCTGAGTCCTTTTATTATGCCCCGAATTCCGTCCCTGCTGGGTGACAATTCAATACTGTACAGGTGACAGCACTCAGAGGTCCCCTGAGTGAGAGGATGGAGGGGCAGGGCCTGCCTGCTCTCGATTCTATGGGCTGTGGCATCATTTATACACCGCAGAATTTCAGAGGGAAATAGAAAATTTTTTATTTTTTTCAGAGGCTGCAGGGGAAGTGGATAGACTTTAACCCATTGTCTATTTTAAGTAAGGTTAAAAACGTGTGTCATGGAAAAGAAGAGATATCTGGATGTTGAAGTTACTTTTAAAGTGTGATTCTAAACCTAATGAGCAATGAAGCCCTTTAGCCTGGATGAAACTAACAATACTGAAGCTCAAACACCAACTGAATAAGTCGGCCCTGCAGGTGAGGCTGCTCTCCTCTTTGCCCCTCCCTGTACGTACATGATGAAGTCCCAGGGGCTTCCGAGATCACCCATTGGGAGAGTCAGAGAGCTGAAGAATCTCAAACCAGGCTGCATGG